AGAATGTTCCCTGGAGTCAAGGATTCTGAAGCTTCGTCTGACATACTTTGGGCATGTTGCAAGGAGGGACTGGTCCTTGGAGAGGGACATCATGTTTGTCAGAGTGGAGGGATGGCGCAGGAAAGGAAGACCCTCAATGAGATGGATCGATTCTGTGAGTGGAGTGGTGGGAATGAATGTGTTTGAGACAGCGAGGTTGGCGCGGGATAGAATGGCGTTTAGGGCTCTTGTACATAAGGTCGCTAGGAGTCGAAAATGACTCAATAGCACGTAACAACAACAACAAACAGCTCAAATCCTTCTTCACTAGGCAGTTTAGACTCTTCCCTCACTCCACCTACTGCTTTATTCCTGAGCCAACATATATGTACTGTGCTTTCCTGGGGGTGTCAAAATTCTCACTAGAAATCTCACTGGTCCAGGGCTCCCTTATAAGCCAGTCTGTGCTTGTGGGAGTGGATTGTCAGGTTCCCCTCCCCTCTAGTAAGCCAAGGCAGAGGCAGGCAGCAATGTTGACCCCATATATGGCAAGGGTTAGACAGACAGCCTTGTCGGGAAAAGAGTGTGAAATAACTGAGGATAAAGAACATAACTACTTATTACACTTACTATACATGGTGATTCTGAGCATATCGTGCTGCTGTGCATCTCTTATGATGTAGCCAGTATGACTTCAACTTAAAGTTCGTAAGTACAACTGTAATGTGCAACTTCCATTCCAGGATTGCCTTCTCATGGGTTAATACCACTTGTCTTCCATTTGAAGCCAGGTGCTGATGCAAATTTTCTTGGCCCGAGGGCCGCAAGAAATCTTTTCTTCCAATGCTTCGGGGTCTGCCCTGGACAATGCAGCCTGAGGTTACCTGCGTTAGAATCTGGCGATCAGCAAAAAACTCAGCCTCTCCCCTTCCCCGACTTCCAAAAACCTTTTCTGCCGATCCGAGAACATTTGATTGTGCTAACATGAAACTTATACTTGGACCAAGAGGCAGTTGTCAGAACAGAGCAAGGAGACACTACATGGTTCAAAATCAAGAAGGGTGTTTGTCAGGGATGTATTCTGTCTCCATAGCTTTTCAATCTGTATGATCATCCGAGATGCTGGGCTATATGAAGAGGGATGTGGCATCAGGATTGGTGGAAGAAATATCAACAACTTGCATTATTCAAATGACACAACCCTGCTTGCTGAAACTGAGGAGGACCTGAAGCGCTTGCTGCAGAAGATCAAGGACTACAGCCTCCTATATGG